TAATTAATAAAAATTTTGAAACAACCCTTCATAGCATTGTAAGGACCGAAACCCAATTACCCCTCCTAACTTGTCCAAAAAAAACCAAAGAAAGCAACTCTTCAAAGTTTCTCATCAATTCTACCAACCCCCACCTCCGTCCCTTCCTGGTGTTTGATATAGCATGTGCTAATGTCATGCAAGTTTTCATTTTGACCAAAGCATGCACAACCCCCCTGCCCCCACCTAACCCTCTTCAACTACAAAGATGTCTAAAGGTCTCTCTTTCGGCTACCATCTTGAAAGAATATGCTCTTGCATCATTCTCCTACATGCATGAGCTGGAATTGATCGTGGACGGAACTCAATTGTTTATAGTTTTCATTTTTTTTCCTTTTTCCTTTTTGTGAGTTCAGATAGTTATCAATAGATCAGTTTGCACGGTTTGAAATGGATGCCATGTGAACAATGAATCTGTTTATAATGAGTCAACAACTTCATTTAAAAAAAAAAAAAATTGATGATCTACCATGAGTCCATGACCCAAATAATGATAGAGTTGGGCTGGGAGAGGTGTGTTTTGATAGCCCAATTTCTAGGACAGCTCAAATATGTCAATTGTTCTCCTGGGAACCCATGACTTTCAATTTCAATGGCACAAGCCCAAAAGTTGCATTTTATGTTTAAGATTAGATAATGTTATATTGTTATATTTATAATGTTATGTAAAATTATAAATTTATAATCATGATATATCATTAAATACTAAATACATATGCACCTGGCCTTTCGGACCAACTGACAACCTGCCAGCTTGAGGTGCATTCTTCTCTCCTGAAGCCTGTCCCTTGACAACTTGTTCAAAAAGAAAAAAAAAACTAAATACATATAATATAACAAATAAATCCTTAAGTGTAAATAATTTATTATAACATATCATATTATAAACTTATTATAGTATGACATTATAATTATATTGTTTTCTCTAACATAAAACTTTATTTGGTAGCCTTGGAAGGTAACTCAAGTAAAAGTTTTAAAGGGGAGAACAAGAAATCCACCGTGGGTCTTGACATACCATTCCTTTTTCATTTTTTTTTTCTTTTTAATTTCTTGAGGAGATTAACACACCTACATGTTATGTCCTCGTAAAATGTTTACTAAGATATAACTTGCCTAGATAACTAGTGGGGATAGCATTGAACAACTTCCCTCAAAACAACTTTCTTCACCTTCTTGTTTGAAAGGAGTTGGGGCAAAAATTACGTGTTTTTAAAACTTAAAATCATACTCATATTTCTATCGTTCTCGTATTTCTATCCCAATATGAGATTCAGGACATCACATTGCATGAGGAATTAAACCCTCAACCTGGGGATTTAAAGTCACAATGATCACATTGTGAGTCAATTCCATCAACATGCCATGATCCTTCGTACCTTTGAATAGCTAGAAATGAAGCATATCAAGAATGCAATTTATTTAGGAAAATGAAACACATGAATTGCTATATATAATTATAATAGAATCCGTCAACGAAGTATTGAGTCTTCTAGATGTAGTAACAATCAATCAATTCATAAAAGAAAAGCGAACATACACTAAGCAATACTGATAAATTAGATGCACAAGCAAGACTACGACCAACACTCTACATATCTTCCTCATTCTCCTGGTAAAGCTTGAGAACCTCAGCACAGCCGGCTTCAGCCTCATCCTTCTCGAAGAGCATTGCATTGACATAACGTGTGGTTGAGGCAATGCCATTGGAGTTTGTCAAGATCACACGGGCGCGTTCCCGACCCATGGACAATTTGGCACAGTCAGGCTGGGAGCTGCTCACGAGTAACGCATCACAAACCTGATCCTCATGGTCCTCTGTCACAGAAATACTGTATTTTCCCTCAGAATCTGTTTTTCCCTCCTTGCTGTATACAAGCTCCATGGATTGCCTGTTCCTGCATTCCACTTTAACCTTGGCACCTAAAGACAAATAAAAAGAATTCGTTAAAACAGCATTGATCACCACCCTAAGTTTTCCAGGAACTCAACCTGGTTTCAGCATTAAAATACATCTAAATTTACAGAATCAAGCAGAGCATAACTCAAAAATCAGCATTCCGTTCTCAAATAGTCAAAAAGGTTCCTAAATTAGAGATATCAACACAAAAATGGCTACTAAAATACTACCTTTTTTCATAAACCCAGAACTCAGATCCAACAATGTCAGTGCTAGAAATACACATACCCAAATACTCAGTATACTAAATCAACGAGAGAAAGGGTTCATACCAGCAATGGATGTAGTCTTGGGGGTCTCATAGCCACAACGGCAGGTGTCACAGTAGACGCGACCCACAACCTGGTAAGGGTTCTTGGCGGGACGAGCTGCACTGATGAGAGCTGGGAGCACGCAGAGTGCGAAAATCAGCAATGCTCTGGCCATTTTTTTTGCTTCGCCGATTCTGGGTTTCTTCAGGGAGCTGAAAAAGATTGAAGATTTGAGAAGAACAGAGAAAGGATTGTGGGGCTTAAATTCTGAGGCAAAGCGGTGGGTGAAACTAAAGCGGAGTGATTGGGGGGAATCAAAGGTGGCTTTTATAAAATAGAAATAGAAATCCGCGTTTAGAGAAAGGTTTTGGTGTGGGACGGTTTAAGTTAGAAAAGTTGAGCTGGGGGTGTTAGGGTAATTTAAGGAAAGAGAATAGGGGTATTTACGAGAATGAATGGTTGTTTTTGGTGATGTGGCGAGGTGTTATGGAGTGGAGGACAGAGTTGGGTGG